GCCAAATGCACAGGGGATAATAAACTACGTACTGATTTCTGTTGAGCACTACTTCCTATGTGCAACTTCAAAAGTTTTGGGTAGTTCGACGATCATTTAAGGTTTTTCCGGTCATATTTTTTGTATTCCAGAAATAAAAGTATTAAAATAATGTCCAATTAGTTATAAATAACATAATAGCCAGCTAGATAATAACAATGGCACGTATTTCAGCATTTATTGGGTAGAACACAAATCTAGGGTGCTCACTGCCTAAAAATATGAAAACTTAAACACTTTACGCACAAGCATAAACTAATACTTAAAAAGAATTACTATATTATAGTCCTCCTTGTGGCTAATGCACATAAATAAGATTAATATGTAGTTATCCAAATGCAGGAGCCACCAAGGGCAGGTGCTTAAAGGACATAGTAATATATTGTGTAAAATTTCTGTATAAAAATATTTGGATTTGGACGCAGCCTCTGCACAACTTGTCCCAATGCACTGAGAGAAAAAAGAAAATACAAAAAGAACACAAACAATGGTATGAATTATGAGTATTTTTCATTCTGTTTTATGAAAGCACACATTTCATACAAGATATCCTTGTTTTCATTACTCATTAACCAAATAAACTGATCTTTAATTGTCAACATATCAAAATTAGCACAATATTTCCTAGCACAAAGTATTAATTTCCTTCTCTCATTATATAATGAGGTACAATTAAGAAGAAAATGTAACTCATCTTCAACTTCAGAACTTGAGCACCTGGGACAAGTTCTATCGTGTCTAGGAATACCCTGATACCTTCCCTTTTCAATCTTTAGGGAATGTGCTGAAACACGCAGCCTTGTCAGATTTTTTCTAATATCAACATTGTGGATTATAGATAAATATTTTTCACAGACAAAATTATTTTTATAAAGTACATAAGAGCATAGTTTACAACCAGCATGTATTTGTAATGTCTGCTCCCATTCTTGTAAAAAACAGTTCTTAATAAACTTACTATTTACATTTAGTAAGTTTTGATTGTTCATTGAGTTAAATAGCAGACTTAATAATTTTTAATATCACATTTAAACTATATAGCTTATAGCATATAGCTGGAACCCCCCCCCTTTATCCTGGGTTAGGAACCCCCCTTTTATAAGTGGCTGGATCCGCCCCTGAAATTAGAAATCAGACAATAAAACTTGATCAATATTTTTGAAAAAGCTGACTGAGAACATTGATGAAAGCTAACCAAGTACATTTTGTTCTTCTACTGAAAACACAATCAATCATATCAAACAATAACTGGCTACTCCTATTAGTACTTTTTTGTTTACTTGTATTTATACGTCTTTTGGCCTCTCAGAGCATTTTTGGTGATCTAGTAAAGTGCTCGCAGCAAATTGGAGGATTCATTTTGATAGTCCGCAGGGCAACATCTACTATGACTTTAACTCAGTGTGTTGTTTTTAAAATAAATCAATGAAATAAAACTTGAGATTATGAATACCATATCCTAATGCGTCATTGAAATCATTAAATATTCAAAAAGGGTTGACAAATATAAATCTACATGCAAAATATATTATTTCTATATATATATTTTTATTGACTGAAATACAGTAAACATGGTAAATTTACTGAATTATAAAACAAATATTTTCTTACGAGAAAATTTAATATATTTTTTTACATTTCAATAGGTACAACTGATCAGTCAATGTACTTCCTGGTGGATTTGATATCCAGATCAGTTAGTAGAGGATATATATAGTGATGGAAATCTTCACAGAGGCTCCAACCCAGTTTAATGAGTGTGATGCAATTTGAGAAATGCAATTTTAGGAGAAATCCGGGTTATTTCATTTGAATATAGTTTATATCCATGGAAAGAAATTTGTTACTGATGCACCACTTATCAACCCCCAAACTCCATCAGATCTCTGATCAGGTTTCAAAGTAAGAGAGTGGAAAATATTTATGAGGAAGGGACATATATATGGATGGAACTACAGATAGACAGGCATTAGCTAATCAATGAAGACCAATGAAGGCCAATGAAGGCCTTATTCTGCAAGGCCCTTCAAAATCAATTCCTCAACAACCCATAAATTACTGCACTTTTACCAGCATTACATCAGGTCAATTTGAAAAAAAACAAAAGTGTACACGCTAAAATGTCTTGCTTGCTTTATTCATCATGATTAAACTTATGTTGAAAGTCTGTAATCATTGTTAATAAGGTCAAGGTCAGAGGAATCGAGCAAGACAGACATGTACACCGATCAATCATACCATACACCAAGTATAGTTAGCCCATTGCTTGTAGCAACTGAGAAATAGTTGTTTATGTGCCTGTCCGGAGTCAGGAGCCTGTAATTCAGTGCTTGTCATAGTTGTCTCATTGGCAATCATACCAGTTTACCACATCTCCTTATTTTTATATCATACTTCTCTGGTGGATAGTTGTCTCATTGGCAATCATACCATATCTCCTTATTTTTATATCAAGGACAATGGACATATGAAAGATGGAACCTTAGTAACATAAGGCATCTGAATACAAGGTATGAAGCATCCAGGTTTTCTATCTTCTGAAATATAAAGCTTTAAACAATAAGTTTATGCAGCTACCACCACCACTGCTGCCACTGCTACCTGAATGTTATCCTTATGTCTCACATTGTCGCAGGTGAGACAAAAATCACTTAAAGAACAAAAACCAATTTCACTGCATTCTTGGTTCAAGTGTTCCTATTCAGGTCTTCAAAAGATTTTAAAATCTGGTCTAGCAAAAACTTTACAGGAAACATATGCACTCATTCAATACTGGACCTTTATTATAGTGAGTGATAAGATCACCAGACTAGTCAAGAGATCTCAATCCACACTGTACATTAGTACATGCAGTGTTCCAATGCAGTTATTTCCCCCATATTTAAATTATTATGTAGTTATATTCTATAGGCTATAGTCATATGTTAAATGATGCATTGGGCTAATATCAAATATTTGAGAATTGAAAGTTCTTTGTTAATCTGTAATCTTATTTTTTTCAAAAATTGAATTAGAAAAGTCATATGCACACATTAGAGCTTCCGATATATTTCCACAAAATATCAATCAACAAGCAGGATTTAACGTTGTCATGAAAAACACCTATAATTAAATAAACATCTTATAAACATGCAAAATAAATTTAAAAGATTGTTTTGGCTTAAGGGCAATGAATAATTTCCATCTACATGTATCTTTAATTTTTGACAGATTGTTTAATTATATTGTAGTTAGCTATGTAGTTCCCCCGAACAAAACGATTTGTTTCTAATTCCTTATATGACCAGGAATTCAAGTCTTCAACTTTTTTCTTTCCAACGAAGGAAGTGAAGTCTTAAGTAGATTCTTTACTCAGATCATACAAACTAATTGTAATCTTTCCACAAACCAAATAATTCATTCCAAGTATAGCATTTTCTCTAGCTAAACAAATTTTTATATTACAATGAATAATAATTTCCCAAAGTCAGCTGATTTCTTCTGTCTCCATAATTTAAACTAAATCACTGAATCAAAGTCAACAATTTCTTACATGCTATTAACACGATTAAGATCCTTACCATGAATTCCCTTAATAATTTATCTGTTACATCCTAGTCATAGTGCAAACCGAACAATTTATATGCAATGTCCTAAGGAGCATAAGAGTAAAAGTATCCCCTAAACCATACAAATTCATGAATTTATTAGTCCGACTTTACTTAGGATTGTACTTACTTTACACAGTGTGTACATAGTCCATAGAATTATAATATACATATATATTGTACTAAATAGAAAGGCAATAATATTAAATCAATAACAGTTTATACAATTTCATATAGTTCAAATCAATATTTCATTGGATAGCATTATAAACATTCAGTTAATAAAGTATCATAATTTTATTCCGTCATTTTAAGGAAGTATTTTGCCTTCTTTTAACTAATATAAATATTTTATCACTCTGTCATAGCTTCCTGATTAACTATAGGACTACAGTAAACATAAAGAGATTTACATGCATTATTTATTGTCATGAGACTCACTAAAGGGATCACTGATGCATTGTCAATGACTTTGTCATCTTATCAATGATTGATTGATTATTTATTGCTTAACATCAGCACTCTTAACAATGAATAGCCCTTAAAATTTGAATTGTGGCAGAAATCTAAAACACTATTTTATCCTGCAATCAACTGTTTTACTATTTTTACTGTACAATAAAAGGTGAACAAACAAACCTAAGGTATACTTGTACAGAATACAAATATTGACGTTTTTTTGGTATTTCAAAATGAGCAAAAGATAATATTCTAATTATTTAGGTCACAGTTCCATGTTCAAACAATGTCATTTTCTACAGAAAAGAGACTTCAGATTAAACCATACACTAAACTTTAGTTGACAAAGTTGACTTATAACAAGCATATATCTCAACTCCTTTTTATATTTCAATAAACCTTGAAAAAATTCAAAATGCAGAATAAAAAATAACCATTATATGTTGATAAATAAATATATTAACGGTAGTAAAAAGCTATAAAACAGAAAATAAACATGCAGTTTATAAAACTGATACAAATTAATTTTATATTTTCAGACATTTATAACCTCCAGTAACTGTCGATGGAGCTTATGCTATGTCCATGTTTGTATACTATGTGGACTCTAAATAAAACGTATTTTTTATTATTATTAACTTCATACACTTCCAACATTTATGCATTCAACTTAAAATCTTCAAATTGAAGACCCAGTGTTGGTAAATGGCACTGGCCAATAGACTGAAAGTAATAACTTTCAAGTTTGCAATATTTTACTGTAAAAATTGTCAATTTTATCTAGACTATGATGTTATAATTTTGTAAGATATTCTAGTCTTACCTCTTATATATGTATAAACATTAAAATCCCCTTGTAATGTGTAAACCACTTATGAACAATGAAAAATAATCAGTCATTTAAAACAGTGTTACCTAAAAGTTGACCTGGTGATAGCCAAATAAACAGAGTATTTTCACCTGTAGAACATTACACTTTGATTTGACTTTCATTAATACACAAATGGAATGGAAATGTTGTTGAAACAAGCAGTGAATCTTCATTTTTTCCTGTACCTTAATGTAATGTTGTGATTGATATATATATATACATTTACTTACCTAACCTAAACTTTATCATATAAATACTAATATACAAATTATAACTTAAATATTATCCTGGTTAATCTCATTAGTAGTTAAGTTCCTGGTTTATTTTAGCACATCTATGGCAATCTTTATCATATGAAATCTAAGGGGAAATCATTTGACTATAAATTACAATTAGGTTTTAAAAGGAAACTTTAAATTGGACTATGTACTTTCTTCAAATTCAGTAAAACATGACTTTAAAAAAAAGTTTTCTTGAATATGAAATATTTATATGTAGTAAAATTACCATATGTATATATGATCATTCCTGTTCACTTAAAAATACTTTGTGTATTGCGTTTAGACATCCTTGTTCAATTCCTAGGAGAAGGTAACACCTCCCGAAACAAAAGCTGATTCTTATCAACTATAGTTAGAGGGTATAAGGCATCTACGCAATGCTCAGCGGTGTTGTCGTAGAAAAATGAAGTGAAAAGTACAGGTTACAGCCCCGGTCGGGGAGGAAGTAAAGAACCAGATCTACTCTAACATTGTTAGGTTGATTTTCTAGGCACTTTATATATATCAAATTATATATACACAATTTTATAACATCATCTTCGTATATTACCTTTATAACATCATCTTCGTATATTACCATCTTAGATAAGATCTTTAGACTTTTATTTTTAGATATATATATATATGAATAGATGGGCTGGTAACATTATTTATTTACTACAAGCCCATCTAATTAAAAATAGCTCGAAGGACAATGAAAATAAAGGTCAGTGGAGGGAGAAAATAAAGGTCAGTGAAGGGAGAAAATAAAGGTCAGTGAAGGGAGAAAAAAGAATCAGTGAAGGGAGAAAAAAGAATCAGTGCTAAATATAAAGCTTGTAAATATGATGACATTGAATGCCAATACATATAATAGAAAATACTATTACATGGTTATTTTTGGCAGATATTTTTTTCACATTGAACCCTTTCTAAAAATTCAAGCGATTTTTTCTGCGATTTGTTGAACTTTGTTGATGTATCCATTTAAGTGATAACCCAAGTTTGACATGATAAAAAAAAATTTGTATTTATGTTATTTTTCTTCTAAAAAATGTCGCATAATGAATCACACAAAAAGTAATTGATTAAAAGTCATATTACATATATTAGGCACATAAAAAATAAATTTGGTTAGCTTATGGAAAAAGAATATTTTTTTTTTCCTGATCAAAATTTCTATCAGGTTAATTCATTTTGTGTCATTATAATCCTGTTCCTGTTTTTTGTGGACACGTTTTAAGTAAAATGACAATCTACATGTAGACATGAATGAAACTTAGTAACAATTTACATTCTTCAAATACTTCACATAGATAAATTTATAAATATAGATTTCAATATTACAAACAATTGTTAATGATGTTATAAACACAAATTGACTTACCTGTTATTGGATTTATTGTACAAATGACTCTATAATTACATAGTACTCCCACACCTGTTGAAATATATATAAGCTAATTAATTAGTGACAAGTCTATCTGATGGACCCTCTATACCTCACTGACAGGTTGATTAAACAAGACAACCTTCTTCCTTCATGTATACAAGATTATGATTAATTCAGTCACAGAAACAACCATCACAAAGAGTTCTAAGATACCATGGATAACTTAATTAGGTCTTTTTTTACATGAAATTCTTCCTGGGCTTGGTTTCTTTTCAACTTTAAACTAGCTAGAAAAATATGACAGTAGTGAAACAAGGAAGTATTAAAACATAAGTAACCCTGGTACCTTTTTGGAGCCTGAAATAGTCAATCCTTAATTAATTTGCATAATTATAATTAAGTATGATGACATGCAGAATGACAATGTGTAATGTGTGACTGAAGGATAAATCGTGAAACATACACCCTTCATCTTTACAAATGGAGTTGTTTACATTGCATGCATATCTCCAGGTCAAATATGATTGTACATGGACTCTTTAATTTATCAAATATTTTTGGCTGTATTCATCATGTACAAATAACAGTAAAGTACTTCATTATGTAATTTTTTCTTTGTTAGCTTTAAGTTTTTCATTCCAATTAGTCTTTTTTATTCATACATTATATCTTTTTTTGAGATCTGCAGTACTATTGAATTACATAAATGACTGTTAACTAAAACTAAATGCAAAATATTATTCCTTATGTTATTGATGGTGTTTTACCAAAACGACAAAAATAGGATATGATGAAATGACTTTTAAGCTTTCATATCCTTCTTTACTTATTTTGAAATGACAAGGTATATTAAATATTGGTTCATTTCATTTAATGTCACTTACATGAAAGAAATTAGCAGACCAAATAAATTATTAGATTGACTACTTTACTTATCTGATGGGGCAAAATCGTTTAATCAAATTCAAATTGGTAAATCTTAGATAGTTTAATTTTTGTAAAAAGTACCTAAATGAAGATTTTTTCAGACATTTAAAAACAATAATCATTTTTTGCCATGGCATTGTCAGTTCCATTTTGAGTTATGAGTTTGAATATCCCAATGGTATCTTCCGCCTTCCTTTTTTATCACGGCTCAAGGATATTTTTAGTAATTACTATTCAATAAGACAAACACTTAACTTAAAGGAAATAAGAAAAGACACATAAACTTAACTGAAAGGAAATAAGAAAAGACACATGGTAATATTTTGCCTTGGCTTCTGAAATGTATGACTCTGAAACTAAGAAAATAATCAAATGAAACTTGTATGTGTCATAACTGACATACTGGTAATCCATGAACAGTTTCCAAGAAAAAAACCTTTTCCAAAGTAACTTCCCGTCTCAGGATTTATGTCCAAAATATTGTTTATTCATGTACAGTTTTTGAGACAAAAACTGTTCCCACAGTAACTCAACTTCACATCATCAGATTAATATACCAAATACTTTCGACCAGCATTTGACCAGAGAGCAAGTTACTAAGGAACAGACCTAAACAAAAAACTGTCATATTCATTATCGCTAATCCATATACCAAGTGTTCTTGGTCTGACATTACGAAAATAAGGATATGTGGTATGATGATTGTTAAACATTCTAAAGAGATCACTATCCAACAGATAACAAAGAAAACGAAACCATAAATATGAGGTTAAGTTCAAATGAACCCTGCCAGACAAAACGCACACTACATGTATGCAATCATTCCATACAACAAATATAATTGACCTATCAATTATAGTAACTGAAAAACAAACAACCATGAAAACCTAACATTGACCAATAGATGAAACCTACCAGTTGGACAAGTATATTTAACATTCAATCCATACACCAATTATAATTTACCTATTTGTACACTATCTGAGATACAGACTTGACCACTAAAACCTAACCTTGATCTTTGATCCATGAGACAAGGTCTAGATCAGGTGAACCCTGTCTGACGGACATGAAGACCTTGCAAGGAACCTATGATATACCAAATTAGTTATCCTATTACTTATAATAAGTGAGTATTTCATGTTCAACATATTTTATATGTCCAAGGGCAATAACAAAATTTTTTTTTTACAAATATCTTAGAAAAAAGTAAAATCACAAAAAAACTGAACTCCGAGGAAAATTCAAAAATGAAAGTCCCTAATCAAATGGCAAAACCAAAAGCTCAAACACATCAAACAAATGGATAACAACTGTCATATTCCTGACTTGGTACAGGCATTTTCTTATGTAGAAAATGGTGGATTGAACCTGGTTTTATAGCTAGCTAAACCTCTCACTAGAAGAGCAAGTTTGTAATGCAATTTCCAATACAAATAACATTTCCAAGGGGCATAACTTTTTTCAAATATTTGATAGACACTGATTTTCGCAATTGTCTAAGACATTGCTGATAGAAACCTTTGATATAAATTCAATAAAAATCTGGTAAGAATTGCACATGTGAGAGCGCTTATAATGCAAATTTCCATATAATCAATATTTCCAAGGGGCATAACTTTTTTTTAAATAATTGATTGGCACTGATTTTCGAAATTTTGTCCGAGACATTGCTGATATAAAGCTACGATATAAGTTTCATAAAAATCTAACAAGAATTGTACAATAATATTTCCAAGGAGCATAACTCTTTATAAAAATAATCGATCGGCACTAGTATTCTAGGTCTAGGGCCAACAGACTTGCTCAAGAAAGGTTTTGGATAAGAAAGCTTAGGACAGTTTCTCCAGAGGGCATAAATGAAAAAACAAAGAATGTGTCACTCATTTTCCCTACCATCACTTGTTTCCAGTAATTCAGGCTTCCGTTTTGGACTCTTACAGATTTAAGAAATTTATTCCTCCTCCCAAACATCCATATTGAAAAAAAATTACCAGCGTATTGATTATTGATAATTTGTATAGCATTCAAGATTTTTATTTCAGTTTGACTACCACATGTCAAGATAAGATTCATTTTACATCTTACTGATGAAGGATATTAGTTATCCGAAATATCTAAAATTTGTTCATGATTTAATTATTTTTTGGTGATGTTGTACCCTTTTAGACTTGTTATATATATATATATATATATTTCCCAGTTGATACGATATTCCAGGGCTTGTATTTCCTATCATGATTTCCTTGATAGAGGGACTCAGGGTTGCTGCTCACAAAGAAGCTATTAAACCAAGAGTTCCAAGTGGTGAAGTTGAAATCATCCCTTCGTAAATTTTACAGAAGCCATCACGAGTTGGTTGACTGTTATGGAATATCCATTTCACAGATGATGGCCGATATGATCCAATTGGCATAACTACAATCCCGTCCCCTTTTCCCTGTACATGACCTACCGAATAAGACTTATTACCGGGTTTGTACTAACATGAGCAACACAACGGGTGCCACATGTGGAGCAGGATCTGCATACCCTTCTGGAGCACCTGAGTCATGTGCATGTTTTCCACCAATGAAATGTGTGCATCAACAACTTTTTGTACAGCTCTGAGTGTCACAAATTGCTATTTGTCAAATTTACTGGAAAAAAATTCTTGCAGATTATATAACCAGTATACCTGACAAACAGTATCACACATTTGACAATTACCTGTTTTATGTCATTAAAGGTAGCTGGGATGTCTAAATGTTCAACAATAGATTTTTCTTAAACATTTGTAAAAGACTTCTGAGACAATGAACTTTCAAATTTCAATATAAAAACTGAGGGTCAAGGACAATATTTTTTTCATTTAATACATTGAAATTAATGAAATCAGTTATTTTATATGGGTTATATAGGGGAAACTTAATTTTTCCTTTTTGAGGAAACATTAAATGATAGAATTGCTTTTCATAAACATTTCTGAAATAGCGGGTCACAGGCTTTATTTTCTTGAAAATTCCAAAAAACACAAATTGTCCTATCAAATTCAATATAATTATCTGCCCTTGATTTAAAAAAGATTTTTTTCTGAAAATTTTAAATACACTTAACGACACTTTATTTTTTAATATTATAATCCTTAAATTTCAAGTTTTATATGTTGTTGATATATATTGAATGATACTAGGTAAAATATCTTTCAACCAAAGAAGTGTTTTTGCAACACACCCAGAAGGAATGCTCAGAAAAAAACACCCAATCTACCTTAATTTCATGAGTTAGGTAAAATATCCTCAAACCAAAAAATGATTTTGCAACATTCCCAGAACGGATGCTCAGAAAAAGACACTCAATCTACCTTAAGGGCATACGATACAGTTTTGATCCCATGGTGAATTTTTGACGAAAGTTTGCATACAAGCTATTTTTCACCTAGTCAATTCAGATATGTTATAAAAAATAAACCTTCATGTGCTACTTTTAGAGATATATGGGGTCGAAATTTTAGACATTTACCAGAAATTTCGGTTTCTTGGGCATTTCTATCCTTTAGAAAGACACATCTAACTTTTTTGTTTTAAAAGATAAACACAAGAGGATTTTTTGCAAAAGCATCTGGAATATCTGCTCTATATAAGTGTGCTTTGAATTTGTGAGACAATTCTTTGGAAATTATTCATTTTTATCACATTTTCATGATTTTAGTCAAAGAACTGCATTTTTTGCTGTATATTTATCTAATTTAAAAAAAAAAATCATCGGTGATTGTTCATAAAAATTGGCAAAAATAATCTTCATACATAATCAAGCCAAATGTCATTTTTAAAAAGAGGGGTCCATGAACACGTTTTCAAGTTAAAGCAGTCTGTATGATAAAAATCAGTCGAAAATGCATCTTTTCCCGATATATAACAGTTTGATGCGTGAAAAATAACATTTTACGTTAGCAACGTCATTACCTCCCCTGTAACTGTATCATATGCCCTTAATTTCATAGCATTTTCCGTTTTACAGATAGATTTACAGATTGTTTTTTTCGGTCCATATTTTAAGGCCAGTAAAAATAAATGTTTATTTATCAGCAACTTAAACCCACTGTATTAATTATAGTATGGCTCAAAATGACCAAGACATACACTACAGCTCGGGTGGATTTTGCTTTGTTCACCGGCCCACCATGGGAGTGGGCACCGGGTGGGCAAAATTTGTACCTTGTCCACTCTGCCCACCTGTAGGAGTGGGCATTCAATTTCTTTTGTTTCATCTAAAAACTAGTACAATCACTTGAAAAAAGCAGATAAGCATTTGTAATCAATATTTTTACAAAAAAGAGATTATAGCTAGAGTGGGCACGGGTGGACTGCCCACGGTGGGCCGGTGGAAAAAGCAAAATCAACACGGGCTGTTGTGTAAATAAAAAGAGATTTTGGTATTAATGTTAATATGCATTCAAGTCATTTTGTCAACGTATATTTGTTCCGCCTAACCGAAGTTCCACTGGAAACTTTGTTATAAACAATGTCATAATATCTGTTCCTGTTGGAACAAATATTCTATACCATTTATTTTGTTAGGAACA